AAAGAAAGTAAACCAATAAAAATAACATAGAAAACTTATTGCAAAACATGTTCTTAGTGTGTACGTGTGTAGTGTAGTGTGTAGATAAAACCTACCCTGCTGCTTGCTGTTGAAGAAAAATGTGACGCACTGAATTAGAGTGGTGAGTAATCAGTAAAGAACTAGAATACAAACAACATAAATATTCGCTGAAAATATTTATTTATTGCAAGAGCTCAAAATCAGATCCAAAGACAAAAAATACATATGATGCTACCAATTTACATCAAGTCGGTTTGGCACATCATTACCTCAGTTCAGCAAATAATACAGGATTAGGTATGACCTGACTACGAATACAGCTCCCACTGCCTAGTTATAACTATAAAATAATAGGTATATAAAACTGGATAAAATATATTGTCTTCCCCCAGGCCATAATAGAATAGAGGTGTAAGGAGATGCACATACCCAACAAAGATAAGCAACAGTTCTAGTATTTCTGGAAATTCAGACTGAGATTGAGACATAACTCAATGGCCAAAGATATTATGTACATCAGTCAATCAGGAAGTCTGCACCAAAGGTACAAAAAATACTGTGTCCAAATAAAGTAAATCAAGCTGCTGTCATACATCCATCCTCTGCGTAAAAGGCTTAAGAGTTAATAAATCATCTAATTTCAAATACAATACCCTTAGGTGTCCTTAAAAAAAAAACAAGAAAATTGAGAAAGGTACATAAGAGTAAACAACGTCAATAATTCATAAAAAATACAATTACACACTAGCATCAATACAATTTACACATCACGGAAGTCACAGATAATAGATACTCCAGAGCTTCTTAGTAAAGATCAAGATTAGTTTAAGACAACAATGGAGGATGTGTACGTAATATCTTTTAAGTGAAATTACGTGGTAATTATTCTAACTACTCGACAATCATGAACTATCATAAAGGCCCACAAATATTTTCTGAAATTTAAAGACTATAGCAATAACATTACCCTGCTTCAACTTCTGCCTTGCACTCTTCCTTAAAATTTAAAATAAAAAAAACAAATGGTCCCAACAACAGAATGCCTTTTTCTCTTTCCTAAATTGTAGTGAAACAATATTTAAAGTAATTAGTTCAGAAGAGAGATCAGAGTTTGACCTCCAGGATGTATGTTCTTTTTTTTAATCTTTTCATACCTACAGTGATGAACTTTTAATTTTGTACATAATTTGTTTACTCTCCAGATCCACACCAGCAAGGAAACAACACAAAACAATGGTAACTACAATTCCTTGAGCTTGCTCCACCCCCCCCCCCCCCCCCCCCCCCCAAAAAAAAAAAAAAAAAAGCACCACAGGATGAGAGACTATGATGGTATTAGGCTTATGAAGAAAACAAGTTAGTTGTTCAATTTTTAAGGTCTTAATTAAGGGTTCTTTAAAAAACGTACTTTCTGTAACATTAATTAAAGTACCTCTCGTAGGTAACAGTAAGTCAGTTAGTTTTCTTTCTAGAGTATTTCTTGTCATTTCAGTGGTCAAATACTTTTATCAAATTAATAGTCAAGGAAGATAGAATAACAGAAAATATAACAATTCTAATGAACAGGAATCAAATGGGCACATGGGTAAGTGATGCTCGGTTTGGCAAAACGCCTACAAAATAACAGAAATGAATGTTCAAGGCAAGAAACTGATTTTTCAAACTATTCAGATTTCTATTCAAAGAGACAGTATGATTGCATTATGATAAATATGCAAAAGTCATGGCATTTTTGAGTCAAATATATCCATAGATACTTCAAAGGTACAAGAATTATAAAGATCAAAAATGATAAAGAACACTTCTTGAATATAAATCATTTTGAATGATTCTAGGAATGCCAGAATCTGAGGATTGGCCACCTCAAAGTAAAACCAACTTTAAAGATATTGTTTAGTGGCAATGTTCAGTGACATCTACAACAACAGGCTTTTTCCAGCCAAACATAAAATAACCAAGAGCAGCTCCAAAGACAACAGATATACAAAGCCACACATTAAATGTCATAAATATAAGCATCAAAAGGTATGAAATTGTTAGTTGAATGACGTGAAGGAAAGTTTGTAGCGCATGCATTCGGCTGAACATACTAAGGGGTTGTTTTGTTATCACCTCTCCAACCATTGTGACTACTTGATCATCTCTCACAACATTCTTGTTTCCAGGAATTTCCACTGATCGATATTGAACGTTTTTGTTGTAACTTTTCCAGAATAAATATTCTCGGAAGTATTTCAGACCCTCATACAATGCTGATAATATTATGATTCCAAGACAAGAGGCAAACAATGTAGTGGGACTAGTTGTTTTCCAACAGTCAAATAAAATAGTCTCATTGAACCCAAAATGAAATATCATGCTGTGCCCCATATGGGACATGCCCATTCCTGTATGCACAGAGTGTTCACTGTGCATGTTGTCCATTGGAGAAATGTCAGCAACGTGATGATGATCATGACCCATATGTTCAGAGTGAGCACCATGGTCATGATGTCCTTCCATGACTGTAAAATAAGTGAACCTGAATAAAAACCAAACAATTAGTATCTTGATTAATAATCACCCCATCCTATGCTTTAAAGCTTTAAGATTTAAATCTAGAATCAGGAAGAGAAATTACAATTGAGGACTAGAAAAATCTTCCCTCGATAGAAAGAATTTCAAACTTAACGTGATACTTTTCAGGATGCTGGTTTTTTTCCCTCTGTTTTACTGAGATGCTGTTCTTAAGTTTCGGTTTTAAGACGACAACGAAGGTGCGTTCCGCCAAATTACATCAATAAATATGTTGAATTCCATATTGGAGGTTATGGTTGTATATGTTTAAGACAATACATGCAACTACAAAACTGACTAATATCAGGACAGCATACAATACAAAAAACTTCACCTGACGATGTATTCAGCGACGAAGAGTGTCTAGAAGATTGTTTTTAAATGCAATAGTCCGATCGGTGCTGTAAATTGTCGTATGGCTCGTCCAACATATGTTGAAGCTGAAGGTTGTCCTTAGGGGGAGAAGGGGGAGTGAGGTGGGAGGGGAACTGGGTTGTGTACACAGCTGTAGTCCTCCGCGGCATATTTGAATTTGAACGAAATAATTATAAAATATAACAGTCCATTTTAGAAACAGGAGAAAAGTGTGAGGAGAAAAGGAAACTTAATTAATAAAAGATGAGCGCATTGTCATGTGACTAAATTTACTTTGTACTGTAAACATTAAATTGCAAACCATTAATATGGCAAATATGGCAATAAATCTCATAAGGTCATTTGTCAATAGTATAATTACATAATAGGAGAAATAAAATCCAATTTCATGCTAGGAGATCAGTAAACATAATTAAAAATATTCTGAAATGTTATTTGTTACACACTTCAGATGGCCCTCTTAAACGGCGCATGAGATGACAGTCAGCAGGCATCAATGTCACTCGCTTAGCATGAAGGGTACAAAGCAATGAATCTTCAAAAAACTGCACCATGTACATTTCTGCTGCCTCTTGCAGAGCTTCTAATGCAGAAGACTGAACCCTGAAACAGAAATAATGTTAGTTTGGCTGGCAAAAAATTGATTTAAAATCAAGATTAGATTGTTGATGAATATCACCTTAACTGGTGGTAAGAAAAACTATTCATAATTTCCCTGACAAGTCGAGAAAAAGGAAATTTGGGTATCAAAAGGGATGTTGACCGCTGAAGAGCTTTAATTTCCCGTAAAGCTTTAGTTCCATTTTTGAAACGACGAGTTCTGCGAGATACGTCATTAGTTGTCTTTTGATTGCCTTGAATGCTTTTCCTTTGAGGAGTCTGTTTTGTTTGAGGAGTACTGGTATGACTGCTACTGTTTTTCCTTGGTGTCGACTTTGGATCAGCTGGAATTGAATCTCGAGATGCTTGCTTGCTGGCTGGACCAGATTTCTAGAACAAAAAGTAAACAAACATAACAAAGTATACTTTTAACGCGTAAGTTAATGATGTTAGTGGGAAGGAAAAGAGAATGTTGCGTGTACGAGAAAAACAAGGGTTCAGGATGACTTACCCTCCGGTCGGAAGGCCTACGGAGCAAATGACACCAAAGAAATTACTATGAGGCACAGATGGAAACAATTATGTTTTCTACGACACAAACACACAAGAGAACTTACGGTAACTTTCGCCTCATGTTGTATCTTCAAATCACATATAAAAACCTACAAAAATAGAACACTCGCACACAGCATCAACAGAATCTGTCGTCGTCGTCCCGCCTTCTCGTTTGATGCAACTGCAACTGTGACGTCAGTGCACGCTCTCCAGAACTGCCAGTATAACAAACACAAAAGTAAACAGGTTTCTTAACAGGTTCTTTTAACCAAATAGGAGGGAAAAGATTATAAAAATGTTAAATACCGTAACTATAATTTAGGCTGAAGTGTCATTTGAAAATGTGATGTCGACTTCGTCCGGGTTGCGGCATATATTTCGTGTCCGGGGTAGTGCATCACTTGAAAGCAAAATTTAAATTGGAACCGGTACCGGTAGAGAGAGACAGACGATTCTATTCTTCAGAGTTCAGTTGACTTTCCGTAAACTCTCTGCGCATCTCTCGATGTGATTCATTGAACCGGGGACCTCGGTGAGTTTATATTGGGTTTAATTAGTTGTTCATTGTCTGTTTCTGTGCTAGATTCCCAGGGTTAAGTTGACTGCTTTCCATGCATTATTCCCACCCCTTGTACCCGTTTTGGGTGTATGTATAAGAGGCATGTCGATCCATCCATTGTCCAGTGGATATCCTCGTCCAGTTGTAACGGATATGGAGTTGACACATTCTGCTAATTTTGCGAGTGGTCACCAGCCTAATTTCTTGTTGTTTCCTTCAAGGTTAAATTTTGTAACATGATCCGCGGTAAGGAGAACAAAGCTGTTCAATCTCTGAGTGTTCCCAAACCAGTTCATGTGTTAAAGAGGTAGGGTAAACCATGGCTCTAATACATACTCTCCTCTGTTTTGCACTTCACCATCTGCTTATTTCTTTGTTTGTTTTTTTAAAGTTGCAACAACCCTCCCAAGGCAAATGTTGTGAAAGGGAAAGTGCCTGTTGTTACAAAACCTGATGTAAAAGCGGTGCCAGGGAAATTTCTTCCAAAGCCATGTCAATTGCCTGAAAAGGCTACTCAAGGCTCTTGCATTAGTCAACCAAATCAGATAAATATTCCTGAAAGTAGTTCAACCTCATCACAGCAGACTTTCAGAAAACCTCAGGATGCGCCCAATTCTTCTAAGGGTGGAAGCTCATTTGCTGCTGTGCAAAATCCATCAATTACAAACAATGTCACTAAACCTTCTGTTTCTAAGAACCCTTTGAAAGGAGAAGGGTCAGTCCCAGAGCCGTGAGTTTGTTCTAATATTTGTTTGATTTGATGTCTTTTAATATTTTGTACACATTTTACTTTTAAATTTTTGCTTGCTCTTAGAAGTGAAAGCAGCAATTTTACTGTGGATGGAGCGAAAGACACTTCCGATGGCAAAAAATCTAATCAGAAAAGTGACAAACAGTATGTACTTACCTTCTGTAATTCATTACTGCATTCTGTGGAATAGTTTAAGACCAGCCTGAGCACTTAATACAATATTTTTCTATTTGTCCCCTTTTTCTTTAGACGAACATTTACTCTCTCAGATTTTGATATTGGTAAAGCCTTAGGTAAAGGCAAATTCGGAAATGTTTATCTTGCAAGAGAAAAGACGTCTAAATTTATTATAGCTTTGAAAGTATTGTTCAAATCTCAGCTGCAGAAGGCTAATGTAGAGCACCAATTGAGAAGAGAAATTGAAATTCAGTCTCATTTAAGGTGTGTATTCTTTCATCATTGATGTTGTCTGCAATTTTCTAAAACTGACGGCTGTATTTAAACTGTCTTTAGGCATCCGAACATTTTGCGTCTTTATGGCTACTTTCATGATGAACAGCGAGTATACTTAATACTTGAATATGCTCCAAAAGGAGAGCTTTTCAGAGCTCTACAGGCACAACCTCTCAAAAGATTTGATGAGTTAAGGTAACTTTGTTTTCTTACATTTTCCTCTAATTGATCTAAAACATGACATATTGCTGTGACATACTGGGACATACTGAGATTAATATCTATATCTAAATGAGTTGTGTTTTTTACCCTTCCCCCTACTTTTACAGGACTGCTGCTTACATTCAGCAATTAGCTGATGCCTTACATTATTGTCATAGTAAAAAAGTTATTCATCGTGACATTAAGCCTGAAAATCTCTTGTTGGGGGCTAAGGGTGAGCTGAAAATTGCTGACTTTGGTTGGTCTGTTCATGCTCCGAGCTCAAGGTGTGTGAATATTCTATTATATTTAACCAGTCCGTTACAAAAGTAAATCGTAATTTTGTTATGAATATCACACAATGTGCTACTGTTTTGCTGGTTTTGCAGGCGGGATACACTTTGTGGAACATTGGATTATTTACCACCAGAAATGGTCCAAGGTCGCCCTCATGATCATAAAGTTGACCTCTGGAGTTTAGGTGTTCTTTGCTATGAATTTCTTGTTGGGAAACCACCATTTGAGGCGGAGACCTATGAAGAAACATATGCTCGTATTTCAAGGGCCCAATATAGTTTCCCAGACCACGTCTCTCAGAGTGCGAGGGACCTCATTTCGAAAGTAAGTTTATTTTTACATTTAGCACTATGGTTTGGTTTTAAATCAGAATTATATTTTTTTTATTTTTATGTTGTAGCTTTTACAGTTAAATCCCAACAACAGACTGCCTTTGGAGGGAGTATTGCGTCATTCCTGGATTACAGAGAGTGAAATGTTGCGCAAAAGAATTCAGGATAGCAATAGTTCAAAAGTGAAGCAAAATGAGAAGTTGCAGAGTTCTGCTCTTCCCATCAAAACTCAATCAAATTAAGCCTAAAAGTGGCTTCAGTGCGGAATTCCTAATCCTATTTAAACCCATCAATACAGAAAATACCTAAAATGCCATATATTTTTTTTCATTTTTTTTTTCTAAATATATTTTTTGAGCCTGCAGTTTGGTGTGTCGGGGTAACTGAAGCAACTAAAGAGTACGTAGATTACGGTTGATTTTGAATATTTACAATGTGAACCTGAATGTATCCCATGTAATTTTCTACAATAGAGGCACAGCATTGAAAAGTTTCTAACTGCTTGAATTCCAATGTGTATACTTTTACACATTGAAAGCTAACTAGATCTTTTTAAGATCTGCCGGTTAATATCCACTTTAACTGTAATATATATTAAAGGCACAATGTGTATGTGTGTGTTATCTTTGTCGACAAGCTATGACATCATAGTTATTGCATGTAACATAATCTTGTGACGACTTCTTCAGATTGTTCTCATCTGAGTGTTATGAATCATCTATCTGATACTTTAAATCTTTCCATCTGATTATGGTTTTATGTTAACAGGTATCAAGCAAGAGTAACAATTAACATTGTATTTGTAATTTATGTATTTTAAAATTTTATATGAATGTGATATAGTAAAATATTAATGATTATCTACCTATCGTTTTTCCATATTACCTACAGTTATAATACTTTAAGCTTGTTTCTTAAAAGCAAGTTAGAAGTTTTTCACTTGATTCGATTCTTCAGGTAAATATATAATTGAACAGTTCATATGATCACAAGCTTTTGTCAAGCAATGTCCCCAGCTTTTTGCTTAAGTTTTCTGCATTTAGGGCCCATTTACGATCGTCCGGGCTGTCTTAAATGAAATTGCATTTTCTGCAGAAATTTATTAATTTTTGGGGTTAAATGGAACCTCCCATTTACGGTGGTC